AAAGTGAACAAAAGTTTGTGTTTATCCAAATGGGATCTCTTTACTTGGAGATTGTAGCTTTTGTAATTTGTGTGGTATTTTTAAATTTTCGTAATGTAGAAAGAGGGTGAAGTAAAGGTAGAAAACCATGTGATATTAGTGTTGCAATTCCTTTTTTTTTTTTATTTATTTTCATTTATGTTGTGGTGGAGGAAAAGTGGGATTTTGGACGAGGGTCGGTCAAAAAGATTAGGGAGGGAATCCCAATTTGATTAAAGGGAAAGTGTGAAAGACAAAAGAAGGGATTTGATTGTGTGTATTGATGAGGGGACATAGATGTATTAGTCCTTTTAAATTACTACTTAGGTCCTAGATTAAGGTTTGTTGATTTTGTTGGGATGTGATGTGGCTTTAGATGTTATGTCATTAGCTACTTTGTATAATTAATTGTCTTCTTGGTGTTAAGTGAGAATTCACATTTTCTTTATTTTTATGCCTTAGCTTTATTTGTGATGCGTAAAATTAGCCGATAAGTTAGCTCATTATGAACGTTCTCACTGTAAGAAATCACTAGCATAAATGCAACCCACTGTCAATGATCTCATCGTCCATTAAATCAGTTATTTGGATGAGTGTCCTTACAAGTGATGCTATGCATGTAGCAAACCCTCTCAAAGTCGGCCAGGCATATAGTTATGCTTTTTTGTGTACTAGTATTACTATTACTATTATAAAGATAAAATTCATATAGAACAATTTAAATAAATATGTACAAACATGAGCAAATTAAAATTAAAGAATATAAATTATATACTTAAGAAAAAAAAGGACAAAAATGACTCATTTTCAAACTGCATGCATTTAATTTCAAATTAGATCCACGTATTTTTCATTTTTTTTAATTGGAAAAACAAATTTCAATTATTCATTTTTTTGCAAATAAGTCCGACGGGATCAGAATGACGTGTAAGATAAATCACTTTTTGTGAAGTAACAAATAGGCACAATAATCATTAATTTTCATTTCAATAACAATTTACTTATTTTTTTGCACGTAATTCTTGCGAAATGAAATTTTTTTATAATTTCTAGAAGTGAAACCTTGATAGAATTTTCATAAAATAATTCAAATAAGACATTTAAAATACATTATATAAATTATAAAAGAGTAAAATTTATTTTGATAAAACAATAATTTATGATATGTGATAAGAAAACAATAATTTATGCATTATAGTAAGCCATATTAAACTTTATCAATTACAACGATTCAATAGAGATAATATATTTCCATCATTCCCTTAAGAAAAAAAAAATCATGTGTTATAATAATAAAAATTGAACAATAATTGACACATTATGTCATTTTATTCATAAAATTATAGTTGCATAATGATGGATCAATAAATAAATTAAAATGAGCGCAATTACTTAAGTCACAAAACAGGCCTAAATGAAATAAATTATATCAACTGCAAATGAAATACATTAAACAAACTTGTATCTTTTTTTACTCAAACTATTCAATCAATTAGGACCAAAACCAAAATAAAGGCCTCATATATAACAAAATTTCTGCTAAATAATTAGATAATAAATATATATTATCGTATTCAGTCTTCACAGTCAAAACCATATCTTCACTATTTCTCTCTCTTATAGTTAAAACTTGAGACCGTCTCACTCTTTCTGTTATCATTTTTTTCTTTTTTTTTTCTTTCATAATATCATTCACAATATTAGCCTATTAATTAAAATATAAATGTCTATATATACAAATCATTTTTTTACTAGATACTTTTAATATGGTTCTTTTTTTTATTTTTTTTTTAATTTTTAGGTCATATTAAGGTAACAATCAATATAGTCACTGTCACTTTTAGATCAATAGCCAACACTTATTTTACATTTTATTTATGAGAATCATAATTTATGTTATTTTGTTAAAAATACACAAGTATAGAATTATTGCAAAATAATAAGAGTAAAATATTTAAATTATAATATATAGCTCTCAAATAATAAAAAGCAAAACTAACACATGTGATGTATGACATAAAAATAAAACAATTGTTACATTTGTAGTATATCGCGCGGAACTTTATTTATCGTAAATTTTTTGATAAAAAAAAAATATATTCTCATCATTCTTATGAAAACAATATTGATATACGAATGAAAAAATAGGAATAAATTAACACGTTATGTATTTTTTTTTAGGAATTATAGTGGTATAATTATATACCAATAAAGAAATTAAAATAATGACAACAAATTTATACACATGTTTAGATGGCCTCTTCAAAATTTCAAAAAATAAAATAAAATAAATTATACCAACTAAAAATACACAAAAATTAAACAAACTATTTTTGGGTCGAACAACACCTCCAATCAGACCAAAACCAATATGAATTATCTCTTCAGCCTTCACAGATAAAGACATGAGTTGCAACTCTTTAAAATCCTATCACTCTCTCAATTTGTATGTTATCACTTCTATTTATTTATATGTTTGAATATCAATTCTAAAATATCTATGTATTTTTAACCCATAAATACAATCAAATTTTGATGTCATGTTCGAATGATAACTTATAAGTTGTCTATTTTTTTTCTTTTCTTTTGTTTTTTTATTTTTTCATATTAATGGTTCGTAATGATAAAAGATATCTAAATGCAGATAATTTTTTTGTCCAAGTAAAGGTTATTAATCGTTTTTTAGATATATTTTATATGTATATGCAGGTTTGTCCACAATACTCGTAGATGATACTTATTTATTTTATTTAATTTTTTTTAAAATATTATCTTTTTTAGTCAAATAAATCACAATATTTATGACAAATATTTTTTTTTCTCTCTCTCTCTCTATATATATATATTTATTATTATTTTTTTTTATTTTTCTAACAAATTTGTTAGAATTAAAATAAATAACAAAAAATATAAAATTAAGTTGTGTAAGTTTACAATTTTGTACTAACCGGATTATTGAATTCTTCTATCAAAATTTAGATATTTGAGAAATATCATTAGAAATAAGCATAATAACTTTTATCAATTGGTAAACCATCGGCACTCTTTTTATATTAAATAGATAATAACTTTAAAGTATAATTTATGCATGTTATTTGCATTTTATATATGATTATGAACATATGGTAATATATTTAATTATTATTATTAGTGGACTGATTTATTATTAATGGGTTAAGTAATAGGCTGCACCATAACCTAACTATTCCTTATTCTATTGGGAAATTTAATCATAACCTCCTTAAGGTCTCTGTTATAATCTATAAATATACCATGTTGGGGTCTTATTTTTTTGCAACACTTGAAAATTACACCAACCATAGAGAGAGAGAGAGAAAGAGAGAGAGAGAAAACCTCGATGACTGAACTTCGCTTCGCTTGAATGTTTGTCTTATTTATGTTGCTATTTTTGTTATCGGTTTGTTACAGGAGAAAATTACCTAGGTGATGATTGAATAGTGGACCAGCCCCACAAGTACTCTAATCAAACCCAAAGATAACAATTAAAACAGGCCCAAAATTAAGCCCAATTGTGCAAAGTATACTAAGGACAGGATGGTCAGTTTGTTTTATCAATATCATCTTCTTCCTCCCTCATTCCACCATATTCGCACACCATCAATCTCAGCCGCTCGCATGCCACCTCGCCGTCGAATCATATCGCCATTAGGGGCCGCAGCCGGCCGTTCATCCACCCTGGACCGCTGCAGCAGCCCATCCGTCATCTCCGTCGGATCGCCGCTTAACCGCAGCCATCCACCCATTCTCCGTGAAGGGCCGCCCATCCTCAGCCATCCTGGACGGCCGCTCATCCGCCGGTCGCCACTCAGCCACAGAAACTCGTTCGTCATTGCCCTCAGGCTTCCATCACGCATCTATGTCCAAAGCGTCTGCTGCTCCCACGCCGTGAACCAGTCAAGACCGGCGCGATAGATTGGACCCTCATCAGCTAATTCACGGCGCGACGTCCTTCACGGTGCTTCCTCGGATGTTACCAAAACACACCTCGACAAACTTTTAGCCTCTTTTTGAACCTGTATTTATGGGAATTCGTGCCAAACTCATAGGGGGATTCTTAGACTTTGAATTTCATTATTTCTTTCAATTTTCAAACACATTTTTTCTTGTTTTTCCTTGGATTTGATCTTGGAGAGTGAGACCCCAAGAAAGAACGTGACTTTGGCTTGTCATTCGAGATTGTTTCTCGACTTTGGAATTACTGTAAGATTCACTTTAATTTGATTGTGGATGTGGTTTATTGTGTTGATTCCATTGATGTAATCAATTTCGTTATGTTTAGTCAATCTATTTCGCTAGGGATAAGAGATAGACCGTTCTGGTTCTTTTGTGATAAGCCTGTTTGAGATTTGTTCATTCTGCTGAGTTGTTGGTTTATTAGGGTTAGTTGATTGTTCATCTGTTAGGTAAATGATTTTTAGAACCGAGAGGGGTGAGTCATTGAACCTAAGCTCGTATGAGGTGGACGTGTTCTTCTAATCCAATTAAACAACTTTCAGAATCGAAAGTGGAGAGTTTTTTGACCTAGGTTCGTATAGAGTAGGTTGGTTCGTAACTGTACTGTCCATGTGTTAATTGGTTTTGAAAATTTTCTGTTCATGTTTAGTCTCTTGTTAATGACAAGAAAAGTTATTGAGGATAAATTTCTAAACATGTAGGTTAGCTTATCTCTTTAATAGAATAATTGATTGCCCGGTATTTGCGTTTAAAACCAACGTCATTATCCCCGATTCTCTAGCTTCTTTATCAACATCTGAAATTTGTTTGAAATTTGAAAATTGAGTAATTGAATTTATTGGAATTAGTAGTTGATAATGGAAACCAAACCAAATCTACTTAGAGTGTTTAGGATTGAATTTATCTTTCTCATTCTTGAATAAACGTACAAAATAATACGGCTAGCCTTCATTGCGATACGACCCGTGGAACGATCCCTTTGAATCAACTCCAGTTAAAAGAACTACAACCAAATGGCGCCGTTGCCGGGGAGGGTTTAGGAATTATATTGCACGTCTATTCCATTTGTTTTTGTATTTCTCTTTGTTCTTGTGTTTTGTCTAAGTTGTTATTTGAGCTCTTGTGTTTATTAGTTGTGTTTCTCGTGTTTTCTTTTGTTTGACTATTTTCTTGTTGAAGTCGTGTGTTTTCTGTTTGTTAATTTTATTTTATTTTTAATTTTTTAATTTGTGTATCACTGGTACTTGTAACAGTTTGTCGTTTTTGTTTATGCCTACAAGGAGCAGACGTGTTATCATTCCTAACGACGAGTTAATTCAAAATGATATGAAAGAGCTCTTGGCGAGCCTTGCCCCCAAATTCCCTGAATCCAAGAATCAAATCGAGATGAATCATAACAACGTGTTGCATGGTGTAAATGGAAGAAACGATGATAATAACCAAACCCCTCGCTATCTCCTACGTGAGGACCTGCTTCACTTCATCTGAGAGTTCTACAACATGCTTCAAACGTTTCTTCTTCACAGACTGAATGCAGATCAACTAAAAATTAGGTGTTTCCCAGAGACTCTCAAGGACTGAGCCAAAGCTTGGTTTATGACTCTTGTTCTTAACTCTCTTATTACATGGGAGCAAGTCTATTCCAAGTTCATCGGGAGGTACTACTCCCATCAGAAGACGCAAGAGCTCCAGTCCCAAATCATATCCTTTTCCCAATTGCCGAATGAACCACTTCATGAGGCGTGGGAGCGTTTCAAGGATCTACAGAGACAGTGTCTGCATCATAATTGCTCATTGGAGTTATTGGTGAATTGCTTCTATGACTCTCTTCACCAGAACCTTCAGGACATGGTGGACAATGCGGCTGGTGGAGATATCAGGGCACGCATGACGAGTTGATGGAAATTTTTTAGACAATGAGCACCAACTCATCTCAAAAGAGCATTCAAGGAAAGAGGAGCATGGTACACGAGGTCTCTTACAGCAATGATGCGATGGCCTAACAAATAGACAAACTCACCGAGAAGATGCGACTATTGAATGCAAAAGGAGTCTAGTCGATGTAATCCATGGATGTCAACGTGTGTCATGGATCCGAGGTATGCCCTTTGGCTATCGAGCTGAACTATGGAGAGAAGTATGTCAAGGCAAATGCTTTGTGAGGATACCCAAATCGATCGGGCAACGATCCATACTCCAGCACGTACAACCCAGGGTGTCGAGACTGTTGGTGTATATACTGAAAGCTTGGCTTTACATATTATTTACACTATTAATGTTTGAATAAGCGTCATGTTTAATTAAACAGTCTACGTTCTGATATTTTACATTTAGATATTGTGGTCCATCACGGATATGACAGAAGATTACATATCGGTTACTTGTAAAAGATTAATGTTTGGCTCACATCCTAGATGGAAATGAACAATCCATCGCGAACGGTTGTAGTGTTAAGCGTAAATTTGTCTTGACTGATTAGTTACACTACTGCACTGTGTGCATTGAACGGATCCCAGAGAGGGAAAGTTCATTTTATACTGATCGTCATAAACGAACTAGGTCTCGGTTAATTACTGCGTACTCTTAACCGTAAGATATAAATAGGGACGTGCATACAGCAGTTGCTACTTTGGTTCACCCAAAGCGAAATCCATTCTGCTAGGTCAATAGTCTTCGTGTTTTTTAGTAGTAGTGTTATGTGTATGGTGTGTTGTTCAAATGTTTACGGTCATCGTTGTTTGTCCCATTTTTGTTGCATTTTTTATTATTGTTTTGCCTTTTCCTTTCCCAGTTTTAGATCTTTTCTTTGGGTTTTAGTCCGTTTTGTGGTTTATTGCATGATTTTCTTTATTTTGGGTTTTTTTTTGTGTTTTCGGTTGTGTTTATGGGTTTTCTTCGTCTTCATGTCAGTTTTAATGTGAAGGTCGGGAGCTTCTGGCGGATATTATTTCAAAGGAGAAACAGTTGTGCGAGCTGATTTATGTAGAAAGGTTCGTTGGTGAAGAGTAGATAAAACGGAACTCAGTTCCAAGTCCGGATGAGCACGTAAGAGCCGGTGGCGCACAACCGCACAACTGTCGCCTAGCACCCGCGACTCGTGGCCCGCAGAAATTACTGTGGTTGAAGCCTTTCCAGGCTGCGACCAGCTAACCGCTCGCGACTTGTGGAAACTGCCATCCGCGACCAGCGGAAATTACTGGGGCTGAAGCCTGCCCAGGGCCGCGACCAGCGAACCATTCGCGACCCACGATGCATGATTTTCGCGACCCGCAAGCACCTCGGCTTCCCGCGGGTCGTTGTGACCTATTTTTGATATTCGATTTTTTAGGCCGTTTTTCGAGGGCTGTTTATTGGGATGCGTTCTCAACCCTAAAAAGGGACTCCATACTCATTTTTCAAATTTGTCTCTCTAGAAAACATTGAATCTTCACCTTAGGTTGATCTTCGAGAGTGACACTCCAAGATTTGTTTTCATATTAAGCTTATAATTCAAATTCGTCACTTGATTCCATATTAATCTTAAGTACTTCTTTTCATTTAATTGATAAATTTGATGGCTTGGGTTAATGTGATTATGTGTGTTCAATTCGATATAAATAGATAAATCCATCTTCTAGGAATAGGGAATAATTGTTCTTGTTCGTTCATATTTATCGGGCTTTGAATTGTTCTTTCTCGTGCGAGTTGTTTTGAAAAGAATTTATAATTTCATGCTTGATTGTTGAATATAATTGAAGAGTAGCTCTTCAATCTTGCAATTGAAAACAATTGGATATTGCTCCTTCAAGTTTAGGGTTATCGATTCTAACGATTAGTCGATTAATTAAGCATCTTTTCAAACCGAAAGGAGAAAATGTAGCGTCCGCTTACTTAACATTCAAAATTATAGTTTTAGCAATAAATAAAAACACTTTGAGAGGATTTTTCAAAAACTTTTCTTAGGACACTACGGTGAAACCTTCTCTTTTCTGGAACTTTCTGGAAACTGTCTTGCTATAAAAATTTATTTAAGTCTTACAGTTAAGCGTTTACAGAAACTTGCTTCCCATATCTCAGGTCATCTTACCCAAATAAAATTAAGTCTGGGTCTCAACTTGAAATCTCATCCACATCGCATGTTTTGAATAAAACTCGAATGTATCAAAAGCATTTGTTCAAGGTGCTCAATTCATAAAACAGTTTTCTAAAACATAATGGAAAGTCATTAATTTTATCTATTGATCACTCATCCCACTCCACGTTCGACACCAGCTCGATCAACCTGAAAATAACAATAGGATGAGCAAATACTCTATGCTCAGTGGGTAAAAACATACTATGCATCGATTAAATATAAGCACAAATAATATAATAATCGTATGAACACATATAAACTACTGGAATGATAATATCGCCTTCAAGCCCCCAGGTAGATTTGGACTAGTGGCTCTTATTTCAAGCCTCCATAATGTACCCAGCTGTTGACTATTATACACAGTTAACTCGAAGTTCATGAATTGATGGTCTCATAACTGGTTACTACGTACAACTGTCCAACATCAACCGATCCCGCTAGTATGTTCGGCATCAACCGATCCTGCTAGTGCGTCCAGCATCAACTGGTCCTGCTAGTAGAAAAAACTGATAACTCGACCCGCTAGGCCAATGCTCACAATCATACCAAAACTGTACTACCACATGGTTATAATGAATAAACCATAGTATAGAATCTCCACCTGATGTTCAAAAATGAACGGCTGAAAGGATGATCAATGAACTGTTCGAGGGCTCAGCTCCTTGTTATCTACAATTTAAGAAATTAAACCTTTATAAATAACTCATTTTTCTCTTGTTAAAATATATTACCAACTTGAATAAAATTAGGATATGTTTGGTAAATCTAGCTGATATGTTAGCTTATAGCTTATATGTAATTTTTGAGCTTATAGTTTATAGCTGATGACTTATAGCTGAAAAGTTAGCTTATATGATACAAGTGTTTGGTAAAATTAGCTAATAAGCTAGCTGAAATAAAAAATTCAACTAGCTTATTTGAAAAGCTACCTAAAGTAGCTTATGAGATAAGTTCGAGCTTTTTAAAAAATCCCGTCCTACCAAACGAGGCTTATTTTAATACAAGAAGCCTACAAGCTAACTAAATAAGCTATAAGCTAGCTTATTTGGCTTACCAAACACAACCTTAATTTATCTTTAAGGTTTCTTTGGTTAAATAATAA